TTCCATTTGAGTCAGCACGTGTGGGTTCCTCAAATTCCCGGCCGTAATGGCATACTTGCTACAGACCTGCAACAATCTTTGGGCTCTCTACTACTAGATGTGCTGTGCTCCGCATATCATGCAATTCAAGCAGCCCGCTGCACTTGCCAGTTTCGCTGGAGCAGCATGACTATAGCCCGCTGCATGGCCAGTATAACGGGAAAGTAGGAGCCCCAAGCTGAGTTACAGTTGATTGCTGCCTGGAGTGATCGTCGTGGCTGTGTTCAGGAGGACTAAACATAACCAATGAACAGTGCCATGATACTGTTGGTGTGGATCCTAGTTGGGTGAGTCTGTGTGACCTTGGGTGAGTGTGGGTAACCACTCACCCTGTCTATACTGCACTCACCTAAGTTCACCCAGGGTCGGGCGACTAAAAGCAGCGTCGCGCGACGGCTGCAGCCACCGACCTTTTGACCGCGTTGAAGCCACACGCCGGCCGGTTAGTAGTTGGGTGGGTGACCACCAGCGAATCCCGGCTGTTGTATGTTTTTGATGCATCTATTTTTGCTTCGTTGTATGCCATTGCTGCCTTGTCCTCACGCTCTTCACCCTGTTCACCTGAAGCTCGCCTGAACAAAACATCAGTAATGCGCACTCCAGTTCTGTGACGCAAGCTCATCTAGTGATCATTGGAGGTCATCGCCTACCGAGTTTCGCCCTTATTATCGTGGCCCTTTAAATATGATCAACTCCCCCGAACGATCCTGCATAGAGGAGACAGCAGGCGGCCGACAGCCTTCCCAAAATCAACTCGAATTTTATTCTTTCCTGACCAAAAACTTGTCGCCACTTGGTCTACGCTTTAGAGCCGTAAGCGAAAATGCCATCTACTCCGCCATCATGCTGAAATTGTAGCCTTTTATCAACTCCTGGGCGATCTGGATCTTCGCACCTTTTACATTGCTGCAGGTTGCTCTATAGAAGTTTTAACCCTTAAAACACCTGGCTGAAATTCCCTGGTCCGTCATCGTACGTCTTAAGACCCACCAGGCCTCCGACTCTAACAGTGAGCTAGGGGACTGCCGAGCATCATGCACTTCACGCTATGTCAACCTAGCTGGACTAAACGAACGATTTGCCCGCTGACGAATTGCGCGCTTCAGGGCGGCTCTCATGCCGTAGGGACTTCTTTCTATAGTGCCTGGTCGTTTCGAATTTGCCTGCTGCAGTGATCTCGGAAGTTGTATGTCGCTGGCTGGCATGCAATGCGTGCCCTGTTTGATTTTTCTACCGCGACACACGCTTACGACCATCGTACTCCCTATCATCCTGGGATGCAAACGAGGAACGATGGGCTGGAGAGTATCGTATTCGGCTTCTTTCTCGCCCGCTAGGCGATCCTAACCCTGTTTCATGTGGTTAGTCCTGCGCCATCCGCAACAGTCGCCGGAGGATAGCCGTCCTACGGACAAATCCGATGGACTGAAATTGATATATTAATTGACCCAAGTGCCAAGTCTGTTCTGTCGTGTGACTCCACTTCCTGTCGCATTCCCCTTTTCATGTTCTGCCTGTATGGCCTTTTTTAGACTCCGCAGTGATTTCCTACCGTCCAACCTAGGTCATAGGTTGAACCGGCCTCTAGCCCGTGACAATATGTGTGAGGCCGCCCGCCTAACACATTATTAGACAAGTCAGGGCTAATTATAACAGTTCTAATAGTAAAGGAAGGGAAAAGGAGTGATGCTTAGTATTATATAATAGTGCTTAAGTATATAAGATAAATGTACGGTAGCATTTCATGAAAATACTAAGCATAGAGAAGGGAAGGAAAAGTATGTACTCTGATACAGATGTGAAGATGGATAAAAATGTCGGCACCGCGCAGCAGTCCAAACATATAAAACGCCTAGAAAGAGTAAGCAGTCTGCGAAGCAGAAGGCTTGCAATGAGGTGGTGACGGTCGAATCGTCACATATGATGTTAATTCTAACTAATTACATCAAGGTGGTGTGCTGGTAAGAAGTTGGGGTGTGTCTCTATTAGGACCCTTTAGGAAGTTCTTCCTCCTTTTATAGTATCGTATCTAGAAAAGACTGGGCCCATTCCCTTTATATGTTTGAAAACCCAATTCAGGTCAACTAAGGTAATGGGAGTTCGACTACTATTAGTACTAAGCCATATACTAGGGTCTAGTACAGTGGCTCTGTCTTCTCTGTCTTGGTTGATATGCTCCGTTATGCGGTCATACTGTATGTAGTCTTGGAAGGTCTGTGGATCGAAAGGATCAAAAACTTTATTTGTGCTGTTGGTTCTTCGAAACGGGACACAAATTCATAGTAAATACTTTCTTGAGCCAGAATCCTCGATCCTTCACAGCAACATTGACCATGGTTAAAGAAAATCCCGGAATTGCTCCAATAAATCGCGTTTTCAATGTCAGCGTCATCGATCAGGCATGCCCAGAGTTCTCGCCGTCGGCGACCCTACCATGTATTAGCAAAATGTAACAAGTCTGGAAACCATGTCTACCTGGAGATTCTTGCTCAGTTCCACCTAGTTCAGAGTGAAGAATTGGCAGAAACTATCGATGGGAATGCCCTGCTGATCCGACTGCTCCTGCGGGACATCCTCCTCGCTCGTCTGGATTTGTCGGCCCTGACGCTGAAGCTGGGAGGCGCTTAAACACAGTTAAGTTTCCACCGCGGGGCGCGAAAAAAGCCAGGACGTGAACAGTTCAAGTGGAGCTTCTTCCTTCCTCTCGAAGCTATAAAGCTTCGACATCCGAATTATCAGCTGCCTCTGGTTCATGGAAGCACAGAGTATCCTTGCATGCTGTGGGCCCACGAATGAAAAGAGAAGAAGCGGAAATTTCTGCTCGTTTGGGAATGCTGGACTTTTCCGGGAAGTTTCCTCAAGCTCTTCCTCCTCCATATCAAACAGACTCTTCATCTCCTCCTCATTCTCTGCTTTTGGTTGTTTGGCACGGCTATTAATAACAGTAAGGATTACGGCGAGCTCCCCGTATAGAATGGAGTTGTCTCTAGCATTCATTGGCTGGGAAGCTGCCACGGCAATATGGGGAAGTGGTGAGGTATTTTGCTTCTCAGGTTCAAGGAAAAAGCAGATGTCCCAGCGGCCACCACTAGGTGGGCACCATCCCACTCTTGGGCAGCAACGCAAGAAAGGATTAGGCAGCCTAGAAGTTGCAATGCATCAATTGTTGAACCGTTAGAAACCAATCATCACGGAGCAAATCAAAATGCATCGTACTTACGTTACGGTGTCTACTCCGCAGAAATCCAGTAAGCTTGAGTGCCGGCGCGGGAGACTTCGCCTGGCAAGAGCCCACTTATAGAAGAACCGGACCGCTTCACCAGAACAGATTTGAGCGGACCACCACCGGCCGTCCTCGGTGTCGCTCCTATCTGCCGGCGGGATGTAGTCAGTGAATGGAATATTCCCTTGAGAATGGTAGTTGTGCGATATCGAACGAGGCAATGGGGTAAACGGGACCGATGTTACTGAAGAAGAATCCACAGAGCTCGTTTCGATTTCCCAAGGAACGAGAGTAATCCCATGTCCTGAAAGATATGATGCCAAAACATCTCCTTCTGAACCGGGCTCACTTGAGACGAAGGGCTTGTCCTTTCCTCCAGTAACGACCTCGTATAGCCATCTTACTTGCTCGCGTGTCACGTTTCCTGCCATTATGAAAAGAAGCTAAGTAAGAAGGTATGATTGGGGATTAAAGAAGTAAATAGTTGAAGACTTGTGGTTGACTGTCGGTTGCGGGTGGTGGATGGTAGATGGGTGAAATGTGGGTGAAGGCAAAGGAAAGAAACAGAACGCAGGGCCACAATCAGGTGACGTGGATAATAATGACGACAAATCTCCCAAACTCTTTAGCTATGTTAAGATGGCAATTCAATTACTACCAAAGGTATGGTGAGTGAATATTCACTTTTCAGGGATCCTCCTCTTGCAGGACCCCATAGGTACTGAGATAGCTAATGATGGTGAAGTATCAACAAAGGCGAGGATTATCTCCCGGACCAGGGTATCAGTAATTCAGTATCACTGTATCAGACCCACTTAAAGTCGCCTCACGGTCACGGAAAGCTTGTTAGTCTTGTGGTTCCCTGATACCTGACGGATGCTAAGGTACGCATCCAGGACCCACTTGTATATAAAATCTCCGAGGATGTAGAACAAAAGTAAAGCAAAGCACTATGTTTAACTTGACTTGATGCCTAAAAACATAATATACCCAGGGCAATATTAGTATTATCATAAATGTCGAAAAGAGAGCTATCCAACGGTACTAATTTTGAGATCAGAGGGGAAGGTTTTATATATAGACACTGGGGTGAATTGTAGAGCCATCTCTCAGATGTAATTTCGCCAACAACAATATTGAATCTTGACCAAATCAAGTTTTACCAGCAGTGTGAAACAACAGGGTCATCTTACAAAAGGGCTGTAATTTAGGTACCTATTTTGGTTGTGAGTATCTACTACTGCTTTCTTGACTGATCATCGCCTCCCCAGTCATTTTTTGAGTCTAGATGGAATTTCCCGCCTTCCCGAGTTCGCTTTCTTCTCTGCCTAGCATAGTAAATCTATGTTCTCTTGTCATCCGGGTAAATCTCTTCGATCCCTTCACTGTGCTTGTGTAGTTGTAGATAGGAGTTCTTCCATTGGCCTGAGCAGAAGCAGAAATATGGATGTTTTTGATCTTCAAGTTCAGTGGGCCAATCACAAGCGGGTGCCTTCCGTTTGAAGGGTACCTACCCGGCCTCAATAACAAAGCTGGGGAGTGAATGTTGTAGAAGTACTACTGTGTATATGCCTACAAAAGAGAGACTAACATAAAATGCATCTGCTTGGGATGGGAGATGGGGGTGGGGGCTGGTTCTTGAGATATCGACTCCCCCTCCTCTTTTGTTCTTTGCTTCTCTTCCTAGCCGGCATCAGCCATCACCCATCCCATCTTTACCTTCAAGGCACCTTCCAAAATGGCTAATGACGCCTTGCCTGAGACAGAAAGAGAGTGGAGACAATCCGCAGGGAGACACAACGTGAAGAACCAATCCCTGCATATGAATGTAAAATTGCATTCAGCATCCCAAGTCACCTACAAGCAGTATCTCCTGTTCAGAACCGACCTCCCCTCCATTGTTCCCCCACGGCAGCTCAATTTCCAGAGCCTTGGCATAGCACCTCTGATGGCGCAAGCAAATCTGCTCCTGAGTGATGTCAGGTTTAGTGACTATATCTTAGATGTCACCACCAGGCAGACGCAGCCGGTTTGGAATCCACCTTGGGGAGGAAACGAAGGACTGTTCAGGGTTCCAGCTATTCAGCAACAGCAAGTGATTCGACACGAGGCTCAGAACAGTTCTGTTCGGAGTGCTGCCGAAGCCAGTGTCAACACTTCTATCGTTTCCTTTTTGCAAGCCATTGCGGATCTGGTTCCTCAGTCTGGACGCCAATGGACGGCTGATAGATCCAAGCTGACGGCAGACTTCAGCACACGGAGACGCAAAAGGCAATTCGTCACATATACCGATGGCCAGCTGGAGGATACCTTCAGTCGTCGGATTTTGGCACTCATCAAGTGTAAACGATCGCGGCGGGAGGACCATTCCCCGGCGGTTGATATGCAGGAGGTCGCGCAGATGGTGGCATGGGTGAAGCAGCACCTCGGCGGACCAGGAAATGATATGCGAGTCCTTGTGTCGCAGGACGGAACTGATGTTTATATCTCAGTCTTTCAGTACGACCAGGGTTGGTTACGGTATCTCAATGGAGGTCCCGGGAGTATCGCGCATGCTGGATTTGCCTACATGCACAGGTATGGCCCCTGGAACATCCAGGAAGCAATAGAGATGGAGCATTTTGCTCGAATAATCGTCGCCCTGCTACTTCTGTAGCCCCCTTGAGACAAATGGGAATGCCGAAAGTAAGCACCTCTGCCATCCACCTCTCCATAGCCAAACTAATCCACATCTGCGTCACAGGATGATCCTCACCTGCCTAGGCGGTATAATACCAATCGAAATCTATGCCGTAGTCATGCAGCGCGAATTTCAAAACATAAATAACTGCGTTGGGAAGGGCTCCGCCATACTGGGTATCTACTTGTTTGTCATAACTCATTATACGTCCTTTTCCTCCCCTGCCTAAACCCCGTGGTGCATCCCATGCCAATCACCGATATGGAATGAAAGGAGAGAACCTTACTGACCAATCCATTTGACGAGATCTCAGTATGACTCGCATGTACAACTAGTATAGTGTCTAGTAGACAAGCAAATATGGGATTAAGGACTCGTCCTCTTGGCTTGAAGAAATGTGAAATGAGGGACGTCCAGCATCCTGTATTATTTGACACTTTGTGCTTCCAGAGCGATTCAAGTATTCTGAATACTCTATACTTGAAAGATAGTGGCTTGCAAGATTGGCACCATGCCTTGATACAAATTCTCCCACCAGGGCGCCCTTTTCGTGCTGGGGTGTAATATGAGCATTCTGTCTTGCCAATGGTCACTAGCACATCTCACTAAACTATCTCTGCTAGTCATAAGTAGATTTTGATTGCTTCAAATCAAGCACATACGACCATAGGGTGTGGAAAACAGGGCTTCCCGTCCGCTCAGCCGTACTTAAGCCACACGCCGGCCGGTTAGTAGTTGGGTGGGTGACCACCAGCGAATCCCGGCTGTTGTATGTTTTTGCCTTTTTTTTTTGTCTCTTATATCTCTGATCTGAGCATGGAATTGTTCACTCTGTTGCCCTGCTAACTCTTGTTTTGTTGATAGATGCTATTTATATAGTCATGATAGTCTCCCACAAAGACCGCCTCAATTACACGGTCTTACTGTCATTTCTCAAAACCTAGATACCTAGGAAGCCATGCCAAGACATAACTCGCAAACCACGAGCCGCATTCTTGAATTCTGAACAAGCCGACGACAGTTATGTTGCTTTCTTCAGAAATGACACGGTTTTTGTTTCCCTGGGCCATCGGGGGATCAGAGATATTCGTGTCTCGGAGGAGGATGCAACAGGGTAAGGCTGGGATGGGACAGTGTGTAAGTAGTCTATCCCATGCGCTACTTGCGCTACTAATGGGTCTGGTTCGCGAGTTGCGGTAGTGACCATCTTTTGGCCTGCCTTGTAGTTTGACAGTGGTTCCCTTTTCGTTTGACAAGGATCTGGTTGGATATGTTTAGCGTTCTCCCAACGATCGCGACCTCCACGGATGCAACCAGCATTTGATTTCCATTTGATTTCCATTTGATTTCCATTTGATTTCCATTTGATTTCCCTCACCTCAGTCCTCCGTACACGCTGCACGGCGGCCCCTTAGGCGGTAATGGCCTTGGGATCATAAGCATTAGTAAAGTCTTGGAATGTCTTCCATCATTTACTCACGTTCACCTTCAAGTAGCAGAGCTCGCATTTTCGTGCCACCAGACCTCGAGTGTGGTGTCTGGCCGGACTTGTCGGAAGCCCAAATGTTTGCGCCCCAGTCAACCAATACGCGGACCACCGGCTCGTGCCGATTCTCAACCGCCCAAGCTAGTGGTGTAAGGCCAAACTTATCCCTGGATTCGATATCTGCACCTACGTCGAGCAAAAATACCACGAGCGCCTCATGCCCGTTTCTTGCAGCCCACCATACTGGTGTCTCCCCGTAAACAGTTCTCGCGTGGATATCAGCACCCTGGTCAACCAACAGCTGGGCGATCTTGATATGTCCTTCCCGTGCGGCACACAGAAATGCTGTATAACCAAGGGAATCGTTGGCGTCGATATCCGCGCCAGTTCTGAGAAGCAACTTGGCCGCGGATGGATGACCAAGCTTTGCAGCCCATAGGAGGGACCGATTTGACTGATTCGTGGATTGCGGGTCTTTGCTAGTTTCGGCCAGCATCTTAAGTAGGGCGGCCGGGTCGGTGGATTGGACATCTTCACTTTTTCCAAGGAGCAGCTCCAGTAAGAGCTCTCGTCCATGCTCTGTGGACCATATCATAGCTCCCTGTCTGAAAAGATCTCCCCGATCGACAGCGGTGTCGCGCTCCATGAATAGCTGAGCTAGCCCCCCATAGCTTTTTTTGACAACCCACAGTAACGACGTCGGTATTGGTGGAGCCTCATCCTCGGCGTCTCCATCTTCGCCTAGGAGTAAATTGACCGTATTACCAGTTGGTGTTCGTGCGGCCCATGAGAGAATACTGTCGATGAACTTTTCCTTTCGCCCATGGTCTCCACTCCAGTCTAGCAGTAACTTGACCATTTCTTCGTGGCTATTCTCCACGGCCCAAAAAAATGCTGTTCTTTTGTACTTATCTTTGGAATCAATAACCGCACCTTTGGTGACCAGTGATCTAGTCAATTCCTCGTGCCTATTCCTTGCTGCCCACAGCAGAGGCGTCTGGCCCTCGGCATCTCGGACCTCCCGAATTGCCCCTCGCTGGAGAAGAATCTCCGCGGTCAAGGAGTGTCGATTCCGGACAGCCCACAATAACGGCGTTAATCCCTCAGAGTCGGTAGCGTTGAGGTTTGTCATGGGATTTGCAGCCAGCAAGCCTGTGATCGCATCATGTCCAGTCTGCGCCGCCCATAACAGCAATTTTTCCTTGCTTGTATCTTTACAATCAGGGTTAGCGCCTTTCTCAAGTAACAGCCCGACTGTGTGGAGATGGCCATTTGTGACGGCCCAGGATAACGGCGTTCGACCCTCGGCGTCCCTTGACTCTAGCTTCGCTCCCATGTTCGCGAGAAGGTCGACTACAGCATAATGGCCGTTACTAGCAGCCTGTGAGAGCGGCGTCAGTCGTGTTACATTACCTCTGGCCTCGAGGTTCGCTTGCTTCTCTGCCAGGATTTGCAGGACGTGCCCATGGCCACGACTGGCAGCCAGCCAGAGTGGTGTAACCTGGCTCTTGGACGGAAGATCCACTTTCGTGCTGCCTGAGCTTAGAAGGACGGCAACAACATTTCCATGCCCCTTACCGGCTGCATGGTGTAAAGCAGTATACCCCTCTTCGTCCTGCACGTTCAATTGGCATATGGGCAATAGGAGCCTTACGACATCGGCGAGCCCAAATTTTGATGCGACATGAAGCGCAGGAAGGTGCTCATCGATCAATGGGAGGTTACAGATCTCCCGTATGGGTCGGTCGGAAGTGAGCGCCATCTCCAACAGCGGGATGTGTCCTTCCTTGACGGCCCAGCCGAAGAGGCCATGTAGGCGCGAGAATTGTGAGCGACCACCGACTACCCAAGGGTGGAAATTCCATGTTTCATTGAAACATAACGAGAGGTGCTTGAATTTCTCCCAGACTGTAGATCGGGAAGTGATCTCCTTGGTTTGTGAGGTCCAGTGGGTGGCTGCATAGTCCAGGAATTTGTATTGTGAACGATCTGGAAGCGTAGCTGATCGGATCTGTCGAAATTGTAATTGTGTGCGACGTTTGGGATCTGCTTCCCATCCTCGGAATAATCTGGCCAACGGAGACGTCAATGCACCACCAGCGAGCAGCTTGGGATCCGGGACTTTTGCCACCACTGTCTCGTTGGCTGGCTTCGCCAGTTGGAGGTTGAAGTTGGAGAAGGACAGATACGCAACACAGAATTCTCCGCACTGAAGCTCGCCTTGCCTATCGGATTTCGGGTACCGTGGAATAAGGCTTGCCGAATCCTTCTGCAGGTACGTCTTGACGGAAGGATGCGCAAAGCGAACACAATAATCAGAAGGATCAACGGCCACAAGATTTGCACAGCACCCGATCACCACGTCTGCTTGGGGGATCCTTCCGGCGTCCCATACCACGTCCTGCAGATCAAAAGCTACAGCCTCTTTTAATTCGTCGATATAGAGTGGTCTCGCAGCAAAACTCACCCACTGGAGGACTCGCAACGCATAGGGATTGGTAAAGGTCATTCTTCGGACACAGCGACGGTATGTCTCCTCTAGATCTGTCGGAAGATCTTGCAACGCTGATCGGATTTGATTGTCCGTGAAACACTCTTGCCACAGGATCTCCAACTGCAGATAGACCCAAAGAAACCTGATTCATTAGCCTTCAGACGATATTGAGGAACCAGAGGAAGGCTTGCTTCATACATTCCTGATGATTCTTCCAGGAGGACCCGCTTGACCTGACCTCATCCAACAAGGCTAAATTGTCGGTGAGCTTCCGGCTCATCAATTTATCGGTGACACTCGTATCAATGTATGCGTGAAGATCCGGCATCACGTTGGATGTAGTTGAAATTTGATGAATGCCAGCCATGAACAGGGGGATGCCTGTGTAGCCAGGCAGTTGTTCTCGGCTGAAAACGAGTATTCGTGACTTGAGTGGGGATCTAGAACCGCAGAACAGGGAGCTGAAGAACTCAAACAGGTCTTTACTTTGGTCTGGGTTCAATGAATCGAGTCCGTCAATGATATACACCGTGTCTGGGATGAAGTGGAATAATTGGATGAAAACGTCCTTCAAATCATCAAAGTCGGGAACCACTCGCTTCCTCCCGAAAAAGCGGTTCAGTGCGTCTGCGACATCGTTGGGGCAGCATCTGTTCTTCGCACGGAGATACTCGCATAGTTGCTTGATCAGACTGGAGAGGATGTAGGGCCCGTTGAGCTTGTCCGGTCGGTCGCTCTCACAGTAGAAAAATACCGTGGAAGCAGAGTGTTCCGACGATTGATATTTGGCTGCATCGATGGCCGCCGTCCTATGGCACGATTAGCCTATTTACCACAAGGACAAAGAGCGAAGGGATGCTGACGCTATCATCGTTTTACCAGAGCCAACTAAACAAGAGTGATGATTAGTGTTGATCGTTGTCAAGGAGCTCCCAGGGGCACGGTTACTTTTCCTGGAGCACCACAGTCTCGAGAATTTCTTCTCCACCAGCCATGCCTTGAAGTCAGTATGATCCAAGAACCACTGCGCTGTCCCCATGACTCGTTTGTGAGCAAGCCTACGGTGAACCTTTTCATGTTTGTAGTCTGAAATGCGCCTGAATAATGTCTCGTCGAGGTCACCTGCAATGAATGAGTATCGGTGACATGCAGAAAGTACAAGATCCTGGCCACTCACCATTTGGCCAAGTCAACTAACTTGATGAACCTCGCGGTTTAGACAGGGCCTTGCTGCTATGAACGACTGGCATTTTTTTAATCAGAATCGACAAGTTTTCAGTCTGTTGTGCATAGCTCATACCGTCGGTGACTGGCAGAGCCGAAGGTGTATCTGCAACGTGAACGGAATGGACCATTGAGAGAAGCTCCTTTGCGTATCCTGCTGCCGTCGCAGCTGCATACTCTTGCCATTGTTTATTCTTATGAGAATCGGCATAGTCACAGATGCCTCGAATTACTAGGCATGGGAATGTGTCCACCAGACTGGCCGCCTCTATTTCAAAGCACAGGATCCCAAGTTCCCGGGCTAGCCGATCTCTGGTCTGCGCATTCTTGATGACCTGGTTGCTGGATGTGATTAGACCGTAGTGGATAACAGGGCCGTTTCCATCCCTTGGTGCTCGGGTAACTAGCCGGTGTCTATCACAGCCATCGCAGGCTGTCGCAGGATCTGTATGATCATACTGGGCCTCAAACAACAAATCTTCTCTGCGGCTGTTATACGTGAACTTCTCCCTCATACGCGGATGGCGTTCCGCCAGGTCTGCGATTAGATCAGGAATACGACTCTTATTCGCGATGTGTGCTGACTGTAGCGCCGTCACGGCTGTCAGGAGCATTGTTGGAGGCTTGTTCAAAACACCTGTCCGTTCCAAGTGGCTGTCACTCACGGCCTTGCCATAGTCGTATTGGATCACTCCCCCGGAATCCCGCGTTGGTTTGCTGACTATGACATCGCCGAGCTGAATATCATGGTTCGCATTCGGGACTCCCCCTGCAATACCCACCATCAGTCTGAACCGAATGCCCTTGAATGTGAGCCGCATTTGAGACGCTACGTTGGCTGCAGAAGTCGTCCCGTAAACCCCAGCTGGAAGGCACGCGATAATGACATTATGGGCGCCCACCCTCCCTGCGACGTAAGTATTGTCGTCGCCGGGGACGGTGCGTAAGTCAGGATGTTTCTCATCCAGCATTGCCTCGGCGGCTGCCATTTCTATGGCAAGGGCGCAGATCCATGCCACTGTATAATTGTGCGGCTTGAGTAACGGTGTTGGTATGGCGGCCATTTGTGTCTGCAACATGCATTGTTCAATTGTATGTCTCGAATTCTGGGTATGATGGAACAATCCCAGACTAGGAAGTCTGTAGGACGTCGTTGGCCCGGCTGAACAGATGGAGGCTCCTCAGCCTCGCCCCGCTCGGTTCGAGCGTGAGTAGAGTTACTAATTGACGCCACATCCCTGCCGCGCGTGGTGGAAAAGACCAATCATCGCACTCGACGATGGATGACATTCCTGTCAATGGAGTTCTTGCAGGAACATAGCATGTGGCAGACACAGCTTCCCACCTATTCTTCATCACTAACTGCCAGTGTAACAAGCCACTCCTCCCTGCGTGCCTAAAATTGGGCAGGTCTAAACTCGCTAGCGGCAAGTTTTCGCGTTTCTTCCATACTGTCCCATATCGACTCCCCTTCCTGTGGCTGATTGGCTGCTGCAGAATCTGGCGTCCATCTGTACTGCAGATAATTATCTCTTAGTGTTCTCTTCTTCTGATAGCTTTTCAGCGAGCTATGGAAGAATTGCTTATATCCTTCATCCGGATCATCCCCATGCCCTAATACCTCCGAATCCTGCTCAAATATGCTCTTCTGATCCAAGGGGATATTCTCTAAAGATAAGAAAGCTCGCGGCCATGCATAGGGAGGGTTCTCTAATACTGCCATCGGTAGGCAGGAGAATTCCCCAGTCTGACTCCTTGAAATGCTCACATTCTCTGATATTCTCTATATATATATCAGCCTTACTCCTGTTCTGATTCCACTATCATCAAGGTAATACATACGGTTATCTATCTCATATAACAACTCAGTTCCGTACAACAAACCTCGGGTTAAAACCAGGATATTACTGCCTATTCATATATCATCGCATTTGCCGTATCCCGCGCAAATTCCCATTCATTAGTAAGATCCTCATCCTGCTCTTTATCAGTCTCAAGGGCTTCAATTTCGCCCTTTACCTGGGTTGATAACATAGCGGGAGGGCCTCAACATGAAGTTGTGTATCCTTATCAGTGACGTATGGGATTCGATACGCTAGGTCGATGGTAAAATCGTTAAACCGTTTCTACTCCCAGCAACATGGTTGGTCGAGTTCAGAGGTGACTGTCTTTATCCTTTGTTCGACAAATGCTCACCTGGCTCCCGGAGAAGCGGAAGACAGCTCGCGAACTGATGGATCATCCGTTTCTCAAACTTGGGGGTTGATCAACAGCCCAATTACTTTGGGAAATGAAGCAGACCCTAGGCAGTATCCTCTAGTTGGAAACGATGAGATATAGGTGAGCCCTCCATCACCTCAAGACCCACTCATCCCCAGTACAGGGTGTCCTATGGTAGAGGTCCTCGGGGATACTGCTTGCAGACCTGGCCCACTGGGACTCTTTTCTATCGAGACGCTCAATTTCCTCTTGCATGCTCCTCTGTCTGCTTAACTGCCTTCCCTGATCTCCTCTGTCAGCGCTCCGCGTGACCGTTACGCCCACGTCCTGTACACAAGCCTCTAGATTTCCCAGCCATGCACATACGAGGAAAACTTTCTAAAAAGACGGAAAAAGACAAAAAAAACATACAACAGCCGGGATTCGCTGGTGGTCACCCACCCAACTACTAACCGGCCGGCGTGTGGCTTAAGTACGGCTGAGCGGACGGGAAGCCCTGTTTTCCACACCCTGTGGTCGTATGTGCTTGAACCATGGGATCCGCCGGTGAAAAGTGTCAGGCGTGTATCATGTGTTAAGGTTCGAAGGCAATAATGGCCTAGCCATAGAAATGTATAGTAGATGCAGTGCAGAATTGGAATGTAGGTCTGATCATGAGTATAAGGAGTTAAGAAGAGCTCAGAGGCATGACAAAGATGAAGGATACTCCCGACGGAAACATGCTGAATCACCGGCCTGGCGTCTGGTGTCATGATATATACCTGTCAGATACATGCAACAAAGGGGTTACTGATTTCGTGCCTAAGGTGTTCCGCGGCAGGGAAATCTTTTAGTAAGACATTCATTCTTTCAAATGGTCACCCCTAAACAGCTTCATTATGCTCTAGAAATGGGTGGTATTCTGAGGTATGATCATAACGAAAGACACAGGAAAAATGAAGTTGAATTGTGAGAGGAATACAACGAGCAGACGCGAATGTGGTATCTTCTTAACTGATCGATTTTTGACAACATAGGCTTGGCCGGTTTGGGCAGAGGAAACTATGAGCTAAGAGGGATGAACGTACCATAGACCTACCAGCAAGGTGTAAAATGTGGTTAGCGCAGAGATCAGATGTTTATAGAGATCGTCGTTGTTGGAGGTCATGGTGACTTCGACACCTTCAAGCATGGAGGAGAGGAGAAATGAGACAGAGAAGAAAAAGAATGGCGTTGAAATTCTCGGGTTTACTGGTACAGGACCTCGCCAGAGCATCTGGTGATATTGTCAGCCACTCTGCGCCAATTACCCCGTGTAAATGTAGTAAACACACATATATGGTCTGGGTCTGCCAATATATTCTATTCTAGTATAGTGTAATCTAGAATTTAAAGAAATGAATATCCTAGGTGTCGATGTAACCAGTTCAATAGCCATTTGAAATCAGCCCAACAACTCGGGAGCATAGTATCATATAGCCGCAAAAGCCGAATCTCTGAACTGTGGAATAGCCCAGTTCATTGATAAACCGTGAGCCTTTTCCCGTGTCCAAGAGACAAAACTTTCCATCTATAATGTACTTCCGGACCTCCGGTATTGTTATGTCTGCTGCGTTGGGTAGCAGTGGGTCCACCATGTAAGGGCCAATTTTATTTCAGTTATCTAATAGAAGCCAATATAAAAGTGGAATCTGCATTGCTGACATGAAACTAACCACAATTGTCATAGCAGGCATTTCATACTTCGAGAGCAAGTTGCATCAGGTCAGGGCCGCTGGAAGATATAAAGCAGCAAAAGCTTGCTCTGGTTTTGCTTTCTTCCTTTCAAATTAACATCATCTCAATGCTTCTCAAGCATCAACCGCTGTATCTCGGGAACAACATGTTTTCCCAGCAGATCCTGCCCTCTGAGACCATCATCCACCGATATGGTAGCTCCTTTGCCGGCAAGACAAGTATGAGACCCTGTTGTGTACCCATCCATATAATCTTCTAACAACCCTCAGTCCTGATAACCGGCGTATCCGGCAACTCCATTGCTGGCGAACTCGCCATCCAACTAAGCGCCGCAGCCCCCCATCTCCTCATCCTCAGCGCTCGAGCCGAGGAAAGAGTCACCCCCGTCATCGAGAAAATCAAATCCACAGCCCCCAATGTCAATACCCGATTCCTCAAAATGGATCTCGGAGACATGAGCAATACCAGAACGGCGGTTGAGACCCTGCATGATATCCCGAAGATCGACCATCTCGCTTGTGTGGCGGGTGTCATGGTTCCTCCGTATGGAACTACCAAGGATGGGTTCGAGACGCAGTTCGGGGTGAACTATCTCGCAAACTTTCTGTTGGTTAAGTTGCTTCTTCCCAAAGTGAAGGCTGCTGGGGCTGGATCGTCCATCACTATTGTTGCAAGTAGTTCAGCCAGGGGTGGGAAGGTCCATTTTGAGGATGTTGGATTTAGTGTGCCTCTCTCCGCTGTTCGCTTTATGCTGCTGGTCTAATTATCCCTGATAGGAAGGCAAAACGTATAATCCTCTGGTGGCATATAGCCAATCCAACGCTGCCCGGGTCTTGTTTGTGAATGCGCTGGCAGAGAAATTGGGAGATCAGGGAATTCGGGTATTTAGTATTGATCCTGGTGGTATGTGATCATCTACAGTCGGCGCATACCTGGGAACTGACCTGCAGCTAGCTGCCCAGTCCGGTCTGCAACGCCATTTCACGCCAGAATTCCAAGAAATGGTTGCGGGGCTTAGGGCTTCTGGAGGTAGGTTTTGGGCCCTTGACATCTTGGGGTTTGAACAGCATTGACGTCATCAAACAGGCTTGGTCGACCTCGATGGTAGGCCCATTGAGATTCCGCCATTCACCACGAAGTCTGAAGCCGCGGCGACTATTATCACGGGCATGATTGACCCTACGATCCAAGGTTCGCAGACTGTCCCATTGTATTACCTTACTGAATACTTACATCGCTAGGACATAATGGGGCCTTCCTCCATAACAACGCCGTTGCCAACGACGAGTTGAATAGCCACACTCGCAATCGCGACAATCAGGTGAAGCTGTGGGAACTTAGTGAGCAGATGATACACGAGACATTTGCTGTTTAAGGATCGTCTGTTGTACCGTGTAGGAAAGTGTGCTTCATTGTATGAAGACGTTGCTCGCATCATAGCAGCTCAATCGGAAATGACAAGGTCTCCTCTCCCCGCTGCAACCTCCAGTAATTTGTAGACCAAATCACCTCAGGACATTCCCTCCATAACCACCTCCATTTCCGAAACATTCTTTCGGATATCTCATACCCAGACGGATCCCACGCTTCACCCCAGATCAACAGTCCTGTCGGTTGGGTACAATCACTGGAACCTTTGAAGAGGTCATCGCAAAGTTCATCCTCCGAGTAGAGATGCAGGTTGCGCAGAAGAGCGTCCCGGACTGAGGAAATGGCACATAGGTCGATCCAGGGATGATGGATGATGGATTTCTGTAGATACGTTGGTTGTAAACTGGGTGGTAGATTTGCTGTTACTGGTCCACAGGTATTGAACGGGGAGATGATATCTCCTGCTAAGAGTGGCATGGTTAGACCCATTGTAGTGGCGTTGGTGCACATGGCGCGGATAATGTTCCATTGGGTAACTGGGAGTAGTAATTCTGAGGAGAGTGCGCGGGTGATGATGCCTCTGTTGACGCGGTCATGTAATAGATCCAAAATTCTCTGGCGGGTTTCTAAGCTAAGGTAGCAGAAATGAAGTGTAGCTGCGTCATTCTCTCCCTGGTTGGGATTGTGATTTGGTCTTAGGGATGTCGCTGTTTCCTGCGACGGGGCGACGTAAACCGTCCACTTTCGAGTCCAAGCCTCGGAACCGCGGGAAGGTAGTATAGCTTTCCTCCTGCCTAGCTAGTTTATAAGACATCTGGCCTTCTTTGTTTCCATCCTCGGTGTTACTTACGGCTGGCACGCTGGTTGAGGCGGTTCTGGATCTTTCTCCGCTCTTTGGGGTCATCCATTTTCGTGTGTATCACCACGGCGCTCCAGATGGTCGGTTGGGGATCTGATGGTTGGGGTTCAGAGGAATGAGGTCGATTTAATGATTAATGGAAAAAGATCGAGTAAACGGTGGATTTAGTCGAAGAGAATTGGAGACCGTGGAGGACGGACTTAGGTGCTTAATCCCGAGACTCTGCAGCCCTGCTACAGTAAAACTACAAGCCTCTGTTCGACCACATTGCGTATTCCACAAGCTTCGGACATCGTCATTTCTGGCCGTCACTCATATTTCCTGAATCCAGAACAAGTGAGAAGCATTGGCAAGACGTCAACTGTGCTCAGACTGCTATGTCACCCGCTATGAGATGATGCAAACGACTTCCTACTCCATTTATGACGAGACTTACCAGTCTGACCTGGAGTTCATGTATTCGAAATGCGGGCTCAGCGGGACCACGAATATCCTCCCACCGCTGCAAGAGCCCCAGACCCATACAAGAACAACCTCACATTCTGCATCTCCGAACCGACGTATACGGCGGTTTCTGGGGATACCCGTGATTCGATCTCGCTGAAGTACAGTGTGTCACCTGCCTCGCTGTACATGGGCGACCCAATCTCCATGACTGCCGCAACATCCCCACCGGCATGGAACTTTACATCCCGCTCTCTTGCAATCCCACCTATACTCTTAAAGACAACGACACATGTATTTTTGTCGAAGCCTCCCTCGGCTTACCATACTCAACCGGTGCTACCCTTCACAAATTCAACCCATGGCTACTGAACGACTGTTCCAATCTTCATGTGGCCAGTAACCAGGTTTATGGGCATGTTCTCTGTGGTGCTCCACAAGGGGGCGCTGCAACCGGTGCTGCTCCTCCGCCCGGCGTGACCTCTCTGCCACAGACGGGCAGCTACACTGAAACCGCACCTCCTACCAACGCCACGGTGGCCAAGAGCACGACGTTCAGAGGGGGCAAATGGTACGTAGTGACAGCTACAGAGGATGTCAGTTGTACGATGCTTTGTATGCAAGGACCGGTCACCGGCAGACCTTTCTGAGGGCTAACCCTTCCTTGGCTGCAGGAGACTGTGATGGTCTCTTGGTGGCGAGGGATGCGTATTCGATGCTGCCAACGGGAATAGCACCGCCAGCAGCACAGGTATGGAAACGACATAATTTGTCAATTTAGAGGAAGATAATGTAAGGGTACAGTGATTCTATCCTATACAGAATCCCATAAAGGTACACTACCACCCATAGACCAGTAGGAAGTTAGGAACGTAGCCAGGTGCCTGCTATTTTTAATAATACTAATATTAGATCAACACAGTAACAATAAGAACCAAGATTTATGGATCTCTGTCTCGTGTAGTCAGCAAATCGCTTAATATCTGATGGAGATGGTAGAGGAATTGATATATACCCTTTCTCAGCACTCATACTGAGTATTAAGAAAAAAGAACATTTATATAGCCTTAAGTGCCCAGAGTTCCCTGTTCACACTAGTGCAACTAGCCAAGAATTAAGTCGCTAGGTAACCTATTTATATTTGCTTGGCAAAATAAGTTGATGTAACCTTGTAAGCGAGTCGTGCTTGTAAGCTTGGGTAGTAGTCTGCCTCCTCCAACAAACCTCTCACTCCAGACAACACCTTTCGCAGCCCCAAAGCAAACCAATGCCTTTCATCTCCTAAACGGATTTTGTATGACTGAGATATCCGGGCTATTTCGTGCTCCGATCTCATGACATAACCTCTACCACCGTCAACTACCTTGGATCCGTGTCTTGCATTCAATTTATCCAATCTGCAAACATGGGGGAGATCTCTCCCCGGCCCTCCTCGCCTGACTCATTCAATGACTTCTTCCACCATAAATCATGGCCAGAACCATGGACCTCTCCGGACTTTCCTGCAGACGAGCCCTGGCAAGAGCGAGACCGCCGCTTTCAGAGCTATCCATGGTGGAATGCTGACATGACGGCGAGGTTCTTCGCGGAGTATTATGAGTGGATGTGGCCATGGGGCTATTTCATCTACCGGACTTGTTATGAGACTGTCTCCGAAGCCGATTGGAAGGAAGCGATGCGAAAGCTCGATGCCTGTGTTCATTGCTTCCTCCGATACCGCCGGACATTCAGCCATCCAGAACCCATCCGGCTTATTTGTGAGGGTTACAGGAATGTAGTCATCGAGGATCGAGAGCTTGAGGGTGCTTCTGTCCACCAGGTCCGGCGCCTGTTTGACGATTGGATGACTCGCCATGACCAGGACGGCACTCCACGGTCGGAGTTTTGTCTGATGATTGATGATAAGGCCCTCCGGTCCATCCACAATACCCCGGAACCCTCCGAGGATGGTAGCTTCTTGTTTGGATTAGACGCCGGCTACGTGATTCTTATTGATCGGAGGTTTCAGGAAGGCGGAATAAGGAGTCCCGACTATGAAAATTATCAAGGATTTTTACGTCTGGACATCACCGGACTGTGGACTTTCATGAATCACGATTGGAATCATGACTTCTGGAGAAAAATGCCCCATATACCGCGTCCCGGCCTGATCCCATGCACTGATGGGTCCTGGCAACATGTAGAGGACGAAGATGGGACGGTGGTGGCGGCGAGTGCATTTTCGAGAAGGTTCGAAGTAATTGGGAAGAAGCCTCGGGCGATATCTTAAGAGCCTTATCTAGATATCTTGTCTCTATGCTTCGCCCAATTCAACTGGAATTTGTTGAATCTATTGCGATGTTCTCTAGGATCAGGGCCCAGTCGACCAATCAGACATTCGATATACAAATTCCAGACCAGATCACTATTTATCTATATCAGGGGCCAGTGAAAGTCACTGGATATCTGGTAAAGAAAGTTAGGTGAACAAATACAATTCAAAGTGTATGTGCTACAGTTGATAGTGAGTCTTGGTGTCCCGAGAGGTTTTTAGAGATCTTCAACCCAGTTATATCAAGAAAGAGTTGAGCGTCGGCATATCTTTTGAATATTAATCTGTCTAGCTGTGTCACAATTGAAAATTGCTTCGATGATAATAGTTCCTCTATTCGCAGCATATAGAATCTTGGTCAAGGGCCACACCACGACCCAGAATCCATCTCATCGAGAGGGCAAGTAGGTCACAGAGGGAAAATTGTTATTTAATAAGACAATAATTTGCTATCTCGCAGAGAACAAGATGATAACATTGCAAGCATACTAACATCCCTTCCAGGCTCATAATGTCATTTTATCCGCAATCATGAAACATTCAGCACGAAGCACAGGCGATAGTTTGCCAGAAAGTCGCATACCAAACATATCTAAGTACATCATGCGGTCAATAATAGAATATATGTTTATTACTCTTGATAATAGCTTTAATAACATAACTAATAGTGTGACACTGGTTCGCAAGATTACAAAGTCCTCACTGCCCCTTCTTATTGGAGATAATATGCACAGTGTAGATGCCAGAATGGTTATCTTTAGGATATTCTAGATAGCATTGGATTGATGCTTGTATTAGCAACTTCCTTCTAAATTACTACTTGAATACTTTTAGCATTCTTGTTAAAGGCAGCAAAGTCCCTCTTAATGGAGTAGCAGCTGTGTGACAACCTCCACCATCTCACTGATAGAGTCTTGCGCAAGTAGTTTCTCCAAGAATTCCAAGTTAATATAAATCTCATCAGACTGCAAGATAACCCTAATCAAACATTTCCCTTGCGCGTATCAACAGCCATCTTCCTTCCAACAGACCATGTCGGCGAAGATCTGCTTCCTACTAGCCCTGTTGGCTAGAATTCATTTCTTCTCTCTTGTATTGGCGGCATCCACCACCTCATACGACTACATCATCGTGGGAGGTGGAGCATGTGGCCTAGTCATGGCAAACAGGTTATCGGAAGACATCCATCTTTCAGTTTTGGTCATTGAAAAAGGCGGTTCCGTCCTCCAAAATCCCCTGGTCTATAATACAAGCGTGTATGGTGCTGCCTTCGGGTCAGCAATCGATTATGCCTACCAGTCTGCCCAGCAGACGTACATGGGCAATAAGGTTGAGACGCTGAGGGCAGGCAAAGCTCTAGGTGGGACTACCACTATCAATGGCATGTCATATACTCGCGCCGAGGAGATACAGATTGATGCCTGGCAGTGGATCGGTAATCAGGGCTGGACCTGGCAGATCCTCGGTCCTTATTACAAGAAGGGCAAGAACTTCCAGATACCTACCCCGGCCCAGTACAGCGCTGGTGCTAATTACAACGCATTGTACCATGGAAAGTCTGGCCCACTGCTTGTGGGAGGGACCTGGGATATGCAAAACAGTACCGTGCACACTGAGCTGAGGAGCACATACGAGCACCTAGGTATTCCATATCTTCCAGATGTCAACGGAGGCAAGATGCATGGCTACTCCATGTTTTCTCGGACTGTGAACCGTGCTGGAAACGTCCGTGAGGATGCGGCTCGCGCCTACAATTACCCCTTCGCATCCAGACCTAACCTCTCGGTCATGCTCAACACCACTGGAAACCGCATTCTTTGGGCCAATCAGACCGGCACTTTAGGACCCGCTGTTGCCAGCGGTGTTGAGGTCACCCTCAGCGACGGCACTATAGAAACCATTATGGCCAACAAGGAGGTCATCCTGTCTGCTGGTTCACTGACCTCCCCTGCCATTCTGGAGCGATTTGGTGTTGGTAACCCAGAGGTCCTTGCTCAACATAGCATCCCTCTCGTCGTCAACCTGACCACAGTCGGCGAGAATCTTCAGGACCAGATCAACACCGAGTTCATCTACACCAGCAACATTTCCTAGACCGGCCAGGGAACCTATCTCGGCCACCCACACGCCTATGACATCTTCGGAAACAATAAGACCAATGTCGCCAACGATGTCAAGAACAGCCTTGCAAACTACGCTGCCAAGGTTTCTGCCGCCAGCAATGGCACCATGAGCGCTGCCAACATGCTCTCCCTCTTCAAGATCCAGTACGACATCATTTTCGAGAACCCTACCCCTATCGCCGAGGTGCTCGTTACCCCCAAGGGCACCAACTTCTACATCGAGTACTGGGGCTTGCTTCCCTCTGCGCGTGGTAACGTCCACATCGCGTCTACCGACCCCATGCAGCAGCCCACCATCAACCCAAACTACATGATGCTAGGATGGGACATGCAGCAGCAGATCGGCTCAGGCAAAGTCATCCGCAAGCTTTTCAACACCGCTCCCATGAGCGAACACACCACTGGGGAATCGACACCGGGATACACCACTCTTCCCACTGGCGCCACCGACGCCCAGTGGGCTTCCTGGATCAACTCTGCATGTAAGTCCTCCATTCCTGCTATGAACTATGTATAATGCACATGCTAATTTCTACTCTAGCTCGCGCCAACTTCCATCTCGTCGGTACCGCAGCCATGATGCCTCGGGACATGGGAGGTGTCGTGGATACCAAGCTTATGGTCTATGGTACTGCTAATGTCCGTGTTGTCGATGCTTCCGTTTTCCCGTTCCAGGTTTGCGGTCACTTGATGAGTACCCTGTACGCTGTTGCGGAGCGGGCTGCAGATACTATAAAGGCTGAGAAATACGGTGCATTATTTGTGCAAACCGGCCAAGGGTATGTCTAAGAATGCTAGCTTGAGATGTGGTTTCGAGATGAAAATGAGTTCAGATGGAGGATCTTGTCATTTGTTTGTAACTCACTAGATAATTGTCCTTTTTATGGTTTTTCGTTCGCATGTAAGTGATCATCAATGGAAACAAACCGCATGTGCTTCCATGTACATCTTCTAATCATAAGCAAGGAAAGTTCCAGCGCCGACTTGTGTTTCTCTCGAAGTATCAAGTCCATCTGTGCCTCCTAATGCAGTAAGCAGACAATTTGGGAGCATAAAGCCTGGCCCTACGACCTGAGTGCAGAAAGACGTTCCTGCTGTATGGGCAGTTTGTGCTTGTCCACCCGACTAGTCTCAGAATTTCCCAGCTAGGCCGGGGTCAAAGCTCTCCTGCATACTGTCTATGAGCGTTCTTCTCTTGCCTTTTCCAGACCGTGAAGGCTGCACTCTTGCGGGGTCATCCCTGGGTAGATCTGTCTCGCGAGACGTCAGCAATGCGTTTGAACATAAAAGAGCCTTCAAATCTAACGGCATACCAAGGGTATCCCGAATGTCTCGGGCCAGAAGGCCGATTCGTCGTTGTTAATGAGGGCTATGAGGAAAAGGAAGCACTGTCAAACAAATGGCTTGGTGATGGTTGCGATTTGGTAGTGAGGAATGGTTCTGACACCCGGAAGGTCGTCGGGCTTGATCTCATTACGAACCACGAGGGAATTCCAACCATCGTGAGATCTGGTCCTATCGCAGCGTATACTTGGATTCGCTCGGATGAGTTGTGTGACGGTTTGGAAAGACAGGCAATGCGGTAGAGATCACAGAATGTGCTTCTGGTCGCTGGTAAGGTGTGATTGGTCCACAACATCCTCGTATGATGTCTTTGGATTTAAGATAACGTGGGAGCAGTGTATGTACGATTCTGAATACCAGCAGAAATGGGTTGATGTAAAGGAAACTACGTTCGCATATAGTCAATAGAAGGTGTATTTATATCTGTGGGAAGTGAATGCTCTTTATTAGCCTCTACTATTGATTCTTCTAGAAAAGTCGTACTAGGCTGACTCCTGCTGGTGTGAATGCTATCCCTCTCTCTAGCTTACAAACTTTGAATAATGGCCGCAGGCTGATAATATGGTCAATATGAATTGTATGGCAAATTGAATTCGTTTCATTCTTCGCTGAGATCTTAGGTTTGGGAATTTCACATTCCTGTTACCTGCCCGATTGGGTAAGGGTGCGTTAGTATATCCTCAGGACTACCCTTTGAAGAAAGACAAAGATGACGTATGTCTTATACTTACACTCTTTGTTCACTGTTTACTTTGCTGCATTGCCCCTTGTTTTGCTTTTCATTGGAAATTCTTCCAAAAGCAATGAATGTCTCAGAGCCTCTGTTCTTTTACTTTCCTCTCCAAGTATCGTGTCTTGAATATCTTCTCTCTGAGTATATTCGCTTCTCCATTCGATTATTTTACATTATACACTAAAGTCGTCTGTTCATACATACTCATCTCTCATCATGCCTGACTGGAAGTTTGACCTCACTAATCGGGTTCGGACCATCCTTGGAATACCCATCCGGATTGAGGAGCAGCTGGCAGAGGTTCCCGATCCGAGACTTGCTGAAATACAGGTTCTAACGCTGGCACGGTATATGGATACTAACCAGCCAATCATGCTAAAGATCCGCTATGAGTGAGTTAGCACACCTTGACCAAGCCGTTTCTCTACTGACACTACAAGTTCAGACTGCGACCAGAGAGCTTCGGTATCAGGGACCAGCTATACTTGCAGACAATGCGTGAGCGGGCCCAAGACGATTACCTCGAAGAGGTGAAGCTGGTCGAGGATGTAGAAGAGATTGGCCACGGACCTGCATACCTCGCCCATGTCACTCAGCGCGCTGGAGAGATGTTTCCTTATCCCGACGGCATTGTGAACTTTATCATCATGACGCGGGTCCCTGGTGAGAACGTGGCTCATATCTTCCTCACTCTTTCGGACCAACAACTTGAAAGCATTCGGAGGCAGCTCGCCTTTACGCTTGAGTAAGTGTATCACTGGCCTGTCGGGAAGGAAAGCCATGTTCTGACCAGTCCAGGCACATGCGCCAGAGAATGTTCGTTTTGGCTCATCAGAGCCCACATTTCCTTCGATACGACAGGGCTAATGACAAGCTGTAAGCTCTATCCATTTTGCTTATCACGCCCATATACTGACAAACGCAGGTACATTGTTGATTACAGCTACATGAGCTTCACGAACCCCAACGCTCCCGGTTCAACCCCGATTACCGTCGATCACATGTACGTCCTCGGATTCGATATTTGGCACCATGGTGAATTTGAGCCTGGAAGACGAGGAGGTCCCTCCGGTAGAGAGGGAGGGTTTGATAAGAATCAACGCGCCTTCTGAGGTCTGGTAACACATACAATCCAGGAGGATCCGGCTCAAACAAGCGCCCCCGACAGGGCAAGTATGCGGACATGAACTAGGAGAAAATATCTCCATTCCCAGGCTGAGCTAGAGGGCTCGACATATGGCTTTTCCATTGTTACATCGAATTACTTATACACTTTAAAAGACAAAAAGAAGGCTATGTGCAGGGGGGATTGCGGACGTATGGCTCAGGTGGGCCTGACTAGACGAGCATAGTTGCAGAAAGCAAGGATTGGTATCAATACCCCGTTTTCTGTATTTGATTCTTACACTGTCCATGCAGCCTCCTTTTCTTGTTGTTGCGTTTAGTTCTTGAGATTGCTGTGCTACCCCTCGCTTGTAATTAACTTCATATTAGCATGCAAATCTAATCATCAAGTTGATAGAATAGGCGTCATTCTGCTTGACCTGCTTGTCTCTACGCAGCAAAGTTGGCATCCAGGATTTGTGTAGCATTGGGGACCGCAATATCAATCAGCCTTGCGAGCTCGATAGCAGAAGCCGACCCTTTCATCATGCATATCAAACAGTAACATCTTGCGCTCGTCCCTCTCCTGAACAAGTCATCTGAAACTCATGTCCAAACTATGTACAACCCTCAATCCATACAGTCATCTATAACCTCACAGGTCTATTCTCCCTAACCCAGATCTTCTCCTCCTCCGACCCAGGAGCCGGCGGCGCAAGCCCATTAATCTTCCATAGCTCCCTCGGCGTCTCCGTCACAAAATACTCCCAGTCGATCCCCTTGGGCTCAAACATCGGCGTCAAAATCGCGTCAATGCGTTTCAGGAATCCCTGCCTCTGCTCGTCGGTGGTCATTGTTCGCGCCAGATGGTAAACAGTCAGCGCCACGAAGTTGGGGTGCTGCTCGCCGCCGATGAAGGCTGTGCCGGCGGGTTGCTCGGTGAAGTGCACTTGGACGTAGAAAGGGGGGAGGCCCCAGCCGACGTAGGCCTCGGTGATTTTTTGGGCGAGGTGGGATTTCTCCTCGGGCGTGAGGGTGTTGGGACTGTGCTGGATGAGCCAACGAGGCATTTTGCTTATTGGTGGAATGGTTGTTGTGTTTGGGTAGATGTGTGGGGGTAGTTCGGATGATTATCGATGATGGTCGAGGATGAGTACCATTATATAGTCAACTACTAGAAGTTGTAACACAATGGCATATAACAAGTTTGTACAACCCCGGGAACTCGGCAGCCTAGAAAAGGGCCACTGTATTGGTATGGACACAATTACTACTATAAGGTTACTGGATAGACAAGAAACTCTGGTACACAAGCTATACAGATTGAGCGGGGGTGGTGACACACTGCATCTCGTGAATACTAATCATCCCGTCCTCAACATGGTACAGTTGTACTCGGACACAAATATCACTAATCAGTGATACGAGAAAGTCGGTCAGCCACTCAACCGTCTCCACCAACTGATCACTAAACATTGCTAGACCAAGGTACTTAATTCTTTCGCACTCCTCCTTGAGCCAAGTGCGAAAAGAAGCCTTCCTGCCAGATATAAAATCTCGACCGCGTCCCTTGAAGATCCAGCGAGCTTAGGGTTTTAGGGTCAAAATGCCCTCCGGCCTCATATTGATTCAACGCCAAATTTATGGCCTGCACGTCCCCCTTGTAGCCCTGGGATTGGGCCACGGCCTTCAAACACACAAACGCAAGGAAGAACAGACACCATAGCCCCAGAACGATCTATCAAAATATGAAGGCCAGATCCACTTTGCTATAGTCCCAGAGATTACGCCAGACTTCGCGTTTGCCATGATGCTCGATGGAGGTGAATTATGTCCTTCACGATGCCTCGCCTATTTCACATGGAACCGGAAAGCACTTTGCTTCCGGCCGTGAAAGGCACCACAGCTTCCTTGAAAGAAGCGGCCACGGTGCAGAGGGTCGGACAGGTTGTGATCACCTCGTCCCTCGCCGGCTGGCTGCACAAGGACGGCTTCCGGACGGCGAGGTAATAAAAGACAATTTAGCATCCGCTCCGACGGCATACCCGTGATGAGTGAATTGACGGTGCATAGAAAGCAACACCTGCGACCTCACATTCGACTCAAACACCAACATCACAGTGTCAGGCGGTCATGTCATTTCACTCAGTCGCTACCATGCATCGAATCCCTCGCCATTGAGGCAAGCTGCCAATGCATGGAGATGAAGCCCCACTGTCAGCTGATTCTCTTCGTTCAGCCTTTGGGCTGGATACAATCATTACAGACGACAGCCCCACGAGGTTGGCGGCAGCGATAGACTCCTCCTCGGGACTATCGCGCCAGTCAATACAAGGGCAGTATTACCGCGATGCATATGTCGAGGAGAGGAACACGAAAACGGTGGATGAGGAAAAAGCTGTCAAATGCGTCGAGGATCCTCCTAGCTAGCCAGAAAACACAGTGGAGGGACGCTGCTGCTATCGTGTAAAGTCACTATCCAAACTGGGGAGCCAAGATCACGCTAGAGAACTCAGGCCAGCCCTTGCCAGTTGATACAGCAGAAGTGGAGAGCGTGCTGAATATGGAAGTAGAGACCGCTGTAGTCAGCCGATGGTCACGGACGTTACGGGCCAGCAACCGGTTTTTCCACAAAAGGCAAAAACATAATCCGCTGACATAATATAGAGTTAGACTACTGCGATGGCTTGAATGGGCATTTGAGGCGTGCCGACCGGCCAGGCATTTTGCGATATGAACCTCTCGACGTCACGTTTGCGGAACCCTGGCGCACGGCCAAGGCAAATGGCGCGGTAGGAAAGCCCTGCCGGATCAAATTAGCGCTCAATGTTATTCTGGTACCCAATTAAACGCGGCTTACAATTGATCAGTTGATCTTCATCGACAGCCAAGTTGGAATCCCGACCATCCAGAAAGCTTGACTGCCATGTGCTCGCAACCACATCCCGACGATGGGTCCTATTGCTATCTGATGAATCACTCTGCGGGTTTTCTGGGAGCATATTTCGATTGGAAAGAATTATGCCCTGCTCCTCAAGGAATCCTTCTACATCTCCCGGGTCAAACCACGGCTCTTCAAGGTCTTGAACGCTTAACCCATTTGTATACATCATCCCAATATCCTCAGCCGAGGGAAGCCAATTGAGACTGGGGTCGCTGATAGGCGAATGCTTCCGTGGGTAGTGCAACCCGGCACCGCCCAAGTTCAGCATGGGAGGATTGAATTCCTTGGAAACTTCAACTCCCCCGGAAGACTTCAGGAAAGAAGTTAAGTATGCGATAAGTTGGGATCTGGTCCATCGAGACATCAGGAAACCAAAGTGCCGAAGTAGCGCGGAGTCGGGAATAGTGGAATCTTTCAGGTATCGGTATGCGAGTTTATAGGCAGCCAGATGCAATCGCTGGGCGAAGAAGGGACTATCTGGACCGTATAGATGCGACATAGGTGTGCGTAGGCTGATAAAGTGAGCGGATGGGATTCTGATATGCGTTGAAGGCGTGATTGGAAAGAGGGAGTCCATAGCCATGTCTGGTATCTCGCTCGCCATCATTGCGCCGAGGGAGTCTGCGCCGCGAAGATCACCATTTACGGGGGCTGTTTTGACAGCGACCACGGGATCTGACAACGGCCTTGTCTGCTCCGCCGAGTGCGAGGATAACAGTTCTGATGACGTGATTCGGGACGATGGTTTATCTTGTGGTGTGACGCCATCTCCGTCTGTTGTTTCAGTGATCTGACTTGAAAGTGCGACATACTTGGCAGTCACCTCTTGAAGGGACTGCGCAATATCAGGGGTGGTATTTAACACGCCCGATTGCAGTAGCGTGTCGCTAAATGCAAGAAAGGCTTCCGTCATCGTCTCAATCACCGATTCCATTTCAGTGATACGACTCTTCAGCTGCGACAAGGTGGCTTCTTGACGGGAACGGTAGGCACGCTGTGCTAGACGGATCTGAGCCCGACGTCTCTGATACTGCTTTGAGCAGGTATTCTCAAAGTAAGGAAGCGATCACTATAACTCACCTCCGCAGGTGTCTGAGCATCCTGCACTTTCTGAGGGCGACCTCTCTTCTTAGAAGACTGTTCCCTAGTCTTTGCTGGCTGTGAATTGACCTTGATTTTCTTTCGTGATCTCTCGTCCTTTCCGGACTCATAATCGTCGGAAGTCGTTGAGAGAGTGGGGTTCGATTCAGTTGATGACATAACTGGCGCCTGAGACACAGGACTTAGACTCGAAACTGAAAGCGACCGAGCCCAAACCCGGTCACTGAATTGAAGCTGCGCGTCCGACATAACTACAAGCTATCAATGAGTGAAGGTGGAGAACCCGAGGTTGATGAACTCTTTGATGTATCGCTGGAAGACGGAGCCAGTTGTTAGGGAGTAAAATTCCCACGTTCCGCCTGGGGCGAAGTGAAGCTCCAAATAGTGGCCAGGTCGTTGAGAACGGGGCGAATCAAGGCTGCCGGGGGACCGATTCTGGAGGAGTCCACCGACGATTATTAAGCGGTGTGCGAATTGTCATCAAACGAATCAAGGTCCGTTCCTGTCACTCATGTTCGTATCTGGATTGGAAGTGCTTTGTGGTCTGAATACGCTAAACCTCGGGTGGTAAGGAGCAGTGGCGATTGTTCACTAATCAAAAAATGTTAGCCAAAGTATAAACACAATAATTCAACAATCGGAGCATAGTGATCTCCGAGCGGGTCAGCGATCTGTCTTACGAGATATTAAGGGATGTTGTCAGTCATCAAACCACTCAGCCAGGAAGGTATCTAGACAACTATTCCTAGCGCAACAGGAATAATAGCGCAGATTCTGGTTAACAGGATAACTTGAGGAGTCTTATTCATCGAGATGAGCAATGGGTTGATCGTGTCATTGATGGCAGCAACTTGCCATGATTCTTGTTGCCTTGGTCCGATGTTTCTCCGGGCCGGTTCAGCCTGATTACTCAGGACATCGAGCCCTCGCGGTGTCGCCTGAGGCAGAAACTTTAACCAGGACGAACTTCCTTTTGTGGAATTCAAGTGATTGGCAGCTGCATTGATGTATTTCGTACGTGTCGCGGTTCAAGGCTTTGTCTTATTTCTCTGTATGATAGGCAGGTAGTGGAGTCGGCAATTCTGTTTTCTAATATTCTACCCTACGTCCATGCCAAGTTTTGACGCATTTCGAAAGACCTCTCTCAGGCAATCAGTCTCCAGCCCGCATATACCACGCGAGCGACAAAGATGATCGCAGCACCTACAACGGCAGACACACCCGCAAAAATGATAGCCCCATCATAAGTCCTATAGGTGCTGATCATAGCCCCCGTGATCGGAGTCCCCGTCAAACTGGCCAGACCCAGCACACCAAGCGCCATCCCCATATACGATCCGATTACGTTGGGCTTCGGCGCCGTCATGGCAATCGTGGCCGTAAATAGACCGATCACAATCCCCGAGAAGAAACCGAACAGCACCGAGAACGCAACCATCCCGCCATGAGACTCGATACGCAGCCAACAGAGGATCAGGATGCCACACGCAGCGGACGCACTGGTAAGTGTATTGAATCGACCCAGGCGGTTAGCGAGCGCGCCACCGAGGATTCGACCAACGAAGGAGCCCGCGTTCAGAATAGCGATGAGGTAATTGGACAAACTGACACTGATACCGATGGATTGTGCGTAGCTTGGCAGGTAAAAGAAGGGGACGAAGAGGGCCCAGGTAAACAGAAATAGACCTATGATTTGAACTGTGTACTCGGGCTTCTTCCATGCTTCGAAAAGGAATGGTGCTCCGGTGCGTCGCTTGGGTGCATTAGATGAAATGGTCAGGCAGGCGACGATGCTGAGTGCGAGCATGGCGAATCCGAGGATCCGAACGGACCAGCCAAAGCCCAGGGGCGTCTTGTTGAGCATGCGATTTAGTGCGATTGGGATGATGATGCCGGCGAGAGAAGAGCCACTGGAAGCGATCCCTAGGGCGAGAGGTCTGCGTTTGAAGAAGTACTGGTTTACCGCAGTCAGAGATGGGGTGTATGTCAGGCCGTTGAAGATGCCTCCAAGAACGCCTTGAGCCAGGATGAACTGGTAGTACTCTTTGCAGAGACTGGTGAGCATGACCGAAAGGATGAAGACGATCGAGCAGGGGACCAGTATAACCTATGAGGGTTAGTAATTGTCTATTCCTAGGGTTGCTGCCCCCTACTCTTGGTCCGTATCGATCCATCAGGGGACCAGACACGAGTCCGCTGGAGTACATGAAATAGGCTTGTAATGATCCAATCCATGCGATGTTGGAGTTGCTTTCATTTCTGAGGAGATTGTTCTTGTAGTATGCTTCATAAACACTATTCCGCGCTTGACGTTAGCATAATGGATCCTTTCGGAAGCCAAGACCTACCCAAAAGCGTTCATATATCCGAATGTGTTGAACATGACACACCAACAAGCTAGGACTGTCATCCAAGCCTTGAACCCTCCTTCGGGGAACGTTAGCTTGGGAGGCTCATTCTTTTCGGCCTGTGAGCTTTCGGGCGCTGTCTCTATATCGCTGCTCATATTGTCGTCGAGGACGAGCCACGAGCCCTTAAACTTGTAATATCAGGAGATGTTCGAGACGATGCCCAAGCCCAGTCGGACTGGGACTGTGGAGGATAGCATCTTGTAGGTATATGAATGCGATCGCTTTTCGATAGCATTTGATGCTATGTCTCGTTGATTTACCAAAAGGGAAAAGGCCGTATACTTAAATCCGCCTTCCGCTCGGAGACACAGAGCGACCGCCATTATCCGACGCATTGTTTACCGAATTGGGTAATCCTCGGTCCCCGAGCCTCGGGGCCGAAGGACATGTCTATTGTCGGTCACTACACGATTGCTGAACTTGTAGTACAGTGGTTCTCGAAATTGCGCTGGCCTTCAAGCATAGGATGATTGTTTTCTAGCTCTACCTCAACCAAGGCGAATGGCAAACACCCTTCCAGCGGGGCGATTGGAAACCTGAGCATGTGCGTGAGGTACTTACCGCGTGTTCCCCCGCACTTCAGTACAATCGCGACTCATACAAAGCGTGGCATGCATGGGTATTTGCTAACTTTGAAAACATATGCCAGCACTGAATTGGATGGTTTTGTTTCTGATGAGCCGTCTGGAGTATCATAGCCTCGCAATTTAACCTAGTCTTTAGACATGCAGTAATAAACAGACATATTATAGAGATATAAATTCTTGAGTAGAATGCCTATCTGTTATATAATTATGCAGGCCTGAGACTGAAGGGCCGTGCATCACATCACTAGTTATAGGATGCTCATGCTGTTTCCTTTACAATGAATAAGTCCTACCTGCTTAGTTACACCAAATATGTGGGTGCCAGACAGGCATAGTAAAAGACATAGATCAATGTAGAAGTACAGTCTGTTACACTTTAAAGTAGTTAGTTGATTCATTTATCCTGACCCATCATCAACAAGTCTTAACGTTTGGTTTCAGACTGGAGCGGATTCTCATGGAAACAAGATAAATACCATGCTATTTAAGTGAGATTACTCAAGATTATAATACGCTGCGCATGTCTCTGGATAATAGAATACTGCTGCCAATTCTGGCTAAGGCCATCCTCATACAGTTATTAGATCAAGCAAGCACCTTCAGGAAGCAGAGACAAACGGATGACGCAAACATATGGAATTTATCCCTCGATTCCAGTTCCAACAATCTTGAAGTAGTAGCATCATTGCCAGCGACCTACGTCGCCACCGACTGCATGAAAGTATATGGTCAAATACACTCCGGCTGGCTCAGTATAAGAAAAAGCTACCCAACGCTGAGCCGTTACCGATTCTTTTAGATCTCGGCAGGGACTGTCTCATAGTCAATTTGATATATTTCAAACGAAAGGGGCAAGGGGGCGCTTACAAGTTTGACACCAACTCTCGCTTATAGCGACAAGTGAGTCCGTGCCAGTCAAGATATTTAAAGAAGTCGGTCAAGGCGTCGGCAACAGAATCATCGCTTTTACCTTATACGGGGGCTCACGCTGCGGTTCTACACGAACCAGAATATGATCTGCTTTGGGACGCTTGTTTCTGGCAGAGACCTTCCTCTGCCGGGGGTGCATCAGACGATCGGGCCTTTTTTCAATGTTCTTCCCTGCCAGCTGGATTTGAGTAGTCCGGACCGTCTGCTTCACGTCCTTAAAGGAAACCAAGTCGAAATCGCCAACCGTCTGGCGAACCAACACTGTTCCCTGACTGATATTTTACGACACTCAAATCACTTTGGCCAGAGGTTGTTTAACACGTGCATCTCTCTGGAACAGCAATTGTCGAGCTTGCAAGTGGACGGTGTTTGCTTTACGGATATAGACACCCGTGAGCCGACGGAGGTAAGAACCTGTAGTCGGCTTTGACATGCTCACTGACTTCGCTTTAGTATATTCTTCTCTCCGTGATTGACAAGCAGGCAGCTTTCGAAGCGAGGCTTACCTATTTCTCTTCCATCATGTCCAACAAACAAGCCGCTGAAGTGGTGGGCAGATTTGAGGCATACGTTTCACATATATTGCGTAATACAAGTACGATTTAACGTTATAAAAATATGATATTCGGCGGCTATAATTCTGGCCAACCCTCTACTTATCCATGCTTTTATTAAAGCATTGCCTCTAGTTCATTTGTTCAAAATTCCATTCGCCTTGGATAATATAACAATCATACTAAGTCCTGGGCAGTGTGGCTGGAAGACAATAATCGTGTGTCTGAAGGCCAGACCGGTTTCGAGGATCACTGTATGGCAATCTGGATTACTTTTACTCAGCTACGTTGGAGACTGAATGCAATCGAGGTACACCAACCGTTATATTCCACAAGCCCTCGTAGGAACTAGCCATACCGCGCGTTGGCGGGTTCGTCATCAAACCATACAGGCTGCACCCCATAGTTGATCACTGTACTCTTGGTCTTGGTGTAACTCTCATAAGCCTCGATGCCGTTCTCCTTTCCCATACCACTTTCTTTAAACCCGCCCCACGGTGAAGATGGATCATTCAGGTGGTGTCCGTTTACCCAAACGATGCCCGCTTCGATTTCTGCAGCAACGCGATGAGCCTGGTTGAAATCATTAGTCCAGACCGATGCTCCCAGGGCATAGGAAGTGCTGTTGGCGATGCGGATAAGCTCCTCCTCCGAGTCGCATTTCACGAGCGCAGTAACGGGCCCGAAGACCTCATTACAAGCAAGATCCGAATCCGCATGTGTCTCGATGATGGTCGGCTCAAAGAAGAAGCCTTTTCCATTTGAGT